TACGGTAGTTGGAGCATTCTTTGGCACTGCCCTTCTTTGAGATTGGGATGTAGACTGATCTTTTCCAATCCTCTGGCCACTGCTAAGTTTTCCAAACTTGCTGGTATATTGAGTGTAGCACCTTAACAGCGTCCTCTTTTAAGATTTAAAATAATTCAACTGGAATGCCATCACCTCCACTGGCCTTGTTGTTAGCCAGGCTTTCTAAGGCCCACTTGACTTCACTCTCCAGGATGTCTGGCTCAAGGTCAACTGCATTTTCTGGGTTGTCTGGGTGCTGCATGTGTTGCTCTCAAACTAACAGCATTTGGGCCAAGGTTTGACAAATTATCAGCATGCATACAACATAAAAAAAATCACGTTGTGCAAAAGCATGCCAAGTTGAGTATCCCTTATCAAAAAATAATTGCACAAGTTTGTATAAATTACCTGGCTTGTGTTATTTTAATATTTGTTTCCATTAACTAGAGTTAATGGTTATTTTTCAATAAAAAAGTGTATCATTGAAAGTTCTGTTAGTTTTGAAGACAAAACGTGATGATTAATTCAGACAACTGTATGAGTTGTTTTTCCTAAACTAAAACATCAGTATTCAGATTTAATTGCAGTGTTGGCACTTTGAAAGAAATAACTTGGTTTTGTGTCGTCATTTGGGCACTTGGCCTCAAAAAGGTTCGCCATCACTGACTTAATTGCACAGCTTGCTGTGTCATCTCTATGATATTGACTTATGCTTTAAATCAGCATAAGGGAGACGACAAAGCAAGTTATGCCCTTTTCAGCCTCTGTGGGATGTGAATGTGCTTAATATTGGCTGGCTTGTATACACCCTTTTTGGGGGAGCTGGGCTACCATAGAGTTTTGTGCTTTTCTTTAGATGCTTCATAGCATTGAATGCCCCACAAGTGCTTGTGAACAAATGGGCTCCAGTGTTAAAAATGAAATCTAATTTTTTTCTTTCATCAGCTATAACTTTTTTTTTAAAAAAGCACCAGATCAATCACCAGATCCACAAGAGTCTCAGTTTTCTTTCCAGTTGACTTACTGAGACCTGCAATTTTAAAGGTTACTGATTGTAAAGGTAAAAACTAAAATAGCGTGACCTTTCTATAGAGACATGAAGCTCAGTTAATTGAAATACAATGCTAGATGGCTTTAGTAGTTATTCGAAGGTTCGGGAAAACTGAAACAGCATGACAGCAGCAAAACCTTGTGTTTGTTCTTGATGGAAGTAATTGAAAGAAACATCTTACCATCCAATTGCACATAATATCATCATATCTATGGTTACTCTCAACCATTTGAAATAGCAGCTGGTTGTTAGGGATCCAGAGCTTGCTTTTAAAATGAATACTGTCACTCATTATCTTATTTTTCCCCATTGTTCTATACTGCCACTCATTATCTGATTTTCCTCATTAGATTATCTTTTCTCAAGGCAAGAAATGAATGGTCATTACTCACCACATAGAAGAAGTTGTCGGCCTAACTAGTCAGTACAATAAATTTGCACAAGGCACCAGGGTTATGTTATTACTTCTAAGTACAGCTTGGAATTTCAGTGTGAAATGAAATTCTTTCTGTTAGTTGTTAATGGGATCCAAAAGTAGTCTGTAATTGTTAATGAAAGTAGCAAAAAAAATTCTAATTGACTGCAAAATCTAGTCATTGCTTTCCAAATAATCATTGTGTGAACACCAGGGTTCTTGTTACATGCAAACCCTTAGAGAGCTACAGATCTAAACCCGTCCCACAGCAAAATCTTCCTAGGATTTAAATGGCATCTTATCACTGACTGAAGATCAGAACAAAAGAATTACGGAATAATGATTTTTAGAACTTGCTAATTTTTAATCAAAACTTTAATACCCATTGGCCTTAACATATAAGTAAAACATTATTTTGTTTTCCCTTATTATTAAAGATACCACGACAATTTCTCACAATGTGTAATATATACAACCTCTGCTTCCATCGTCTGAGCAGTTCATGTATAGTAACTCATTGTGAGTTACTATATATTCTGCATTCTGAAAAGATGACCTTTTCAGCATGTCTGAAGATGTCCAGGAAAAAAGTGCTGTGTCTCAGCTGTAGAAATGCATATACTCAAATGTCTGATTCTTGAATGACAAACCACCAAATTTTTCTTCTTGTTTGCAAGGCAGCAGGTTCTCACATTTCTAAGAAAGACTTGTGCAAGTTGCATAGTAATAATAATTGTGTGCCATTTCTGACTTATGGCTACCCCTTTTCAAGGTTTTCTAGGTAGAGAGTACTCAGGAGTGGTTTCCCATTCCCTTCTTCTGGGATTGTCCAGGGACTGTGCAGCTTGCCCAAGGCTACCCAGGCTGGCTCTTCTGGGGCACTCTCAATCTCTAGCTCCACAGCCACTTAACTCACTGAACGTAGTGGGGAATTGTACTCTCAACCTCTAGCTCCACAGCCACTTAACTCACTGAGCTATCCAGCCAGCCATCTATGACAACTGTTGCCTTTTTACATGAGCTTGTTAAAAATTAGAAGGCATCGAATGGGTTGTTTGTATCTTTTTGATAAATCAGCCAGTCTTTCTTTCCTTGCCAACGTTTCCTTTCCTTCACAAATGGAAGAGACAATATTTGCTTAGAGGCATTTTGGGCAAACTGAAGAAACGTTGATAGAAACTTCACCTGTACCTTGTTTCATTGTGCTTCTGTTGCTCTCTTAAAACCCAATGAAGTTTTCTTTTGATTTGTTTTCCATTATTTTCCTTTGTTTTGTTTGTTTTGGTCTTAAAGGCTATATAACTAAATAAGTGTAGCTTGTAAATGAACAGAATGCTGACCGCAGATAGTCTAATGATTAATGAGCCTTTTTTTTTTTTTACAAGTTTGGGTAAGAATATGAAACAGCCCTGAATACATCCAATTTCATGGGAAAATATTCAATGTTATGATATATAAGGACTTCTTTCAAACTTTAAATCACTGTAATTAATCACCATTTCAAGTGTGATTGAAAGGTTAAACTGTTAACCATGCTGGATACAAAAGAGGAAGAAAGTTAATATGGCTATTTAAAAAGGTTAACCTACAGGTGAAATTTACCTGAAAGGTTGACACAGGAATTTATGCCAAAGACAAATTTATGATGGATGTGTCCATACAAATACTTTCACTATGCGTGACATCCTTTTCTTCTAAGCATGCATCTGCCATAAATGAAAACTTCAATTAACACAGTGGAATAGCACTGCAAGAATCATGATTAGGCATTCTGTTTATACATAACAGTTTCCATGTCTCCGTGCATCGTTCCCTGAAAGTAATCTAAAAAGCTCTGGGATCTTTGTCAGCAAGTAATGTTTAGTCATCTCCATATTTTGGACTGTACAAAGACAAAAGGATGCAAGATAATTAGGGATGGGATTTTTGGAGTTAGAGAACTATCAGTCCAATAATTTGACAGGAACCCGCCTGGCTTTAAGGAACTGGGAGTGCTCAAACCGGCAGGAGGTAGAATAGGTCCTTCAATCTCCACGCTGTTACCAAATTGCTTCTTCTAACTCTTTGAAAACTGCTGTACTCCATCAAGTAAGGAGTCATGAGGTACATGGGGAAGTGAGTTATAAAAGGAGGCTGCCTCTTTATTGTGGAAGTGGACTCTGCCAGACCGTGTTGGAACACAAGCGCATCTCCTAAACTGGCTGCTTAAAGACCCTTTAGATGGCCTGAAGCTCGAGATATCTGCATGCAAAACATGTGCTTTACCCCTGAACCCCTTCCTTTTTGAAATCTTTAGAATTACAAATGCATTGCTAGGAAGACAAAGGGTTCCTTTCTGTATGGAAGCCACTATCATTGCCATCATCCTCACCTTCATCATCACCACAAAATCTATCAGAAGGAAGTTGATCGTAGGAATTTTCGAACAAAATAGTCATTCTGACTGAGAGAACAGATGCATCTACAAGGGCCCCAGGGATCAGCGAGCATCTCTGTGCACCGTGAGGGTGCTTGGAAGACATGCAAATGAACAATCAAGTAACATTTGATACAGATATTTGCCATTTATTGATTATTATAATGGACAGTTCAGTGATTTAGGTATCTGGCTGAGGGGCCAGAGGTTAAGAGTTTGATTCTCCCACTGTGCCTACTTTACATGGGCTGGACTTGATGACTCATGGGATTTCTTCTACGTCCGCAGTTCCAAAATGATGATGATTTAAATTCTTTTAAGGATTGTACGTAATGTTCAGTTTGTTCTTATAAATTTTTTCTACCCAAGTTGAATGCAATTTTTCAAAATAAAAAGTCAGGATAAAGATATAAAATAAATATAAAAACCCAGCATTTTGAGGCATAGCTAAAATGTGCATATGTTTGTTCTTAAATCAAAGCCCTATAAATACGAGTATTTTGGAGTTAGGGTGTTATAAATGCTAGTGTTTTGAACACACTTAGAGGGGGATTTCTACACTGTCCTCTCCCTTGTCACAATCTTCATGGCTTCAGTGCCAGCTCTCCAGTTCAAACTTACACCTGAGCCACGAACCTGGGAAACTTGAAGACCCCTCTATTCAGAACTGATGATGGGTAGAGATAGGTGTTCCCTTCCAATGTTTTCGTGTTTTCATTAATTTTTGCTGCCAATTCTTACTTGGTAGAGTATACTTTAGCCAGCTCAACAAGATAGAAAAAGCTATTGTTCAGCTCTGGACCTCTAGTTTAGCTAAGGGCCGGTCTACAGAGCTTGTCTGGAATGGGGTACAGAAGGGTCAATAGAAGGTCTTGCATGCCATTAATGCAATCCTTGCATTCACATGGTGTATTTATCCATCCATCCATCCATCCATCCATCCATCCATCCATCCATCCATCCATCCATCTATCCATCTATCCATCTATCCATCTATCCATCTATCTATCTATCTATCTATCTATCTATCTATCTATCTATCTATCTATCTATCTATCTATCTATCTATCTATCTATCTATCTGTCTGTCTGTCTGTCTGTCTGTCTGTCTGTCTGTCTGTCTGTCTGTCTGTCTGTCTGTCTGTCTGTCTGTCCCGCCCTTCTAGACTATGTCTCCTTAGGGCAGCTTGCAATAAAAATTATTCATGGACCTCAGATGATCTTATTTGGTCTTCAGCAGGCTTTCCCAATACTGTATCATGCAGTAGCTTAATAAGACAGTCTCTTCAGGATATTCGCAAACGAACCACTTTCTCAGCCTCTCCAATGGACAGCCTGCTCACAGACAAACCGGGTGGGCTCTCAACGGATCTTGAGAAGCAAAACAAACAAACCTTCTGAAAGTGATGCAGTGAATATTCACTGTCAAATGCACACTTGAATCCCCACACACACACCTTCCTTGGCCCTTCCACGAAGCTGAGGAAGTGATTAATTTGCCAATACCTTGAAAAGATAGTCTTCAGTTACTTCACAGCATTGGCAGAAGGCTAGCTTTGGGTCCATTCCCAGTGATCACAGGTACCAGAAATGGACCAAAACAGAGCTATCCTACCAGCATCAATAATACAGAAGCCCTGACAAGGGCTCAGAAAGTGTGTGTAGGAACACTCTGGGGGTGCTTTGGTTTCCTCCAGTGGTTTCATTCTGTAATCACTGTCAAAAAGAGGGACCAACCTGCCCCTGCAGCTGCCCAGACAGCAGGCTAAACTTGTGTCTGATCACACCCTAATGCCAACGTATACCTATGGCCCAAGCTCTTGTTGTTTCTGACACACAAAATTGTTGCCACTACACTCATCTCGGGAGCTGCACCCTGATTTAGCCATGTATCTCCTTTCCTTCTCTCCTCTTTCTTAGATTACTTTTTATCTCCTCTTGTCCCCCACCAAGAACTTATGTCAGCTTCCTTCTGTTTGCCTGGGGGAAATGGGCATGTCTGTCATCTTTGAGGATTCTGCTGGGTTTCACATACCAAAAAGAGGAATTTCCTTGGTCTTCCTAGATGATTAATAAGAAATTTGCCTCCCAATGGATGTAGCTAGGGCTGCGTTTGTCACATTATTGTTTATCATCAGGCAATGTGTTCTCCAGAAAGAGAGAATTTCTAGATTTCAGGGCTTACCATTGAATTTCTGAAGTGAATGAGACTTGTCAGTCACATATAACTTGAGTCGTATTGACCTGGGTGCATCTGCTATTAGGTAAGACTATTATTAGATATGATTCTGTAATTGTGGGATTTACTGCCCCTCAACCTCTGCTAGCTCAATATCTGTCAGCCTTTAAATATCGGATGTTTTTGTGTGTTGTTTTATTATGCATTTAAAAAATATTAACTGACTTTTGGCTGCCTACGAATACATTTTGTTTTGTTTTTGTCTTTGGGCTTCTGCGGTATAGGTTCTTAGTCTAGATTTTGTTTTTACTTATTGTTCTGAGAAAATGTGTAAGGAAGGAAAGAAGGAATATAAATAATAAAATAAATAAACAGTAGTTGAATTGTGACTGTAATGAGCACCTAGCTTATTTATTTGGGTTTCCCTTTCTAGGAATGGAACTGTGCTATGGAAGACTTAAAATCGGATGCCCTCAAGATCCTGTTCTCTGAGGACTATGCTGAAAAAGAGCACCTAAAGCTGTCAAGTCAGAAAATGAACCTGCTGCAAGACGAAGTGAATCGCTGCATGGAGGAACGAAAAGCCTGGTTGCAAGAAGCCAACGACTTCTTCACAGCAGCCAAGAAGGTTAGTCAAGGAGTAAATTCATAGTGGTAACTGACAACGGAACTAAGCAACAAAGTCCATTCTCCAAATACCATGTTCCCCCGAAAAGAAGACAGGGTCTTATATTAATTTTTGCTCCAAAAAACACGTTAGGGCTTATTTTCAGGGGATGTTCCCCCTCCCCAATATACAAGAATCTACATTTATTCAAATACAAAATTGCTTATGTCTTTATAATTTTCTCTTAAAAACACACATATTACTCTTTAATATAAAATAATTTCTAGGCCTATTGAATAAAACAAAAAAAATTATTTTCCAAAACACCATGAAAGTAAAAAAAAAAAGCAACATCTTTCATTCAAATCTGGCTTCTTCGATCCCACAAATGCAAGCTGTCTTTACAGCGTTTGATATTTACATTAATGTGTTCTAAATCATTTTGGCTTGAACTTCACTACAGTTGAGTGTTTCTTTACAAATGGCTGTTATTATTCTTAAGCCAAATGCAAATGTTACTGAAGATGGATTAAGAACTTGTAAATGCAGATTTTTTTTAAAATGGTAAGCTTTCCTTCCCAGGCACACGTTATAGCAACCCACTGCTGGGTTATGAGCTGTAAATAATCCTGCATACAGCAGGACAACAGGGGCTATATCACCAAGTATCAGGTTCTGTCAAGTTGGCACCATGGGTGAAATTGTAGCATTATAGGAAGGGGTAATTCTATCAGCCAGGAGAGCAACACAGCTGTTATGGAAAAACCTACCTCAGGAGTCCGCAAACTTCCAACCTCCTGCTCTTTTATTAGCTTCATTGAAATTAATGAGAGTGGCTGTGGAACAAGTCATTTGAGGAGCATCATAATTAGCTTCCTTGTTGTCTGTGTACAATGCAACAACTCATTTCCTTAGAATGGAGAGGACCCTGGTATTTTTAAATACATAATAACATACAAATAAAAGATAGTAATATATAGGTTTACAATATAAAATTTGACAAAAACAGAAACTGTCACTGAATCAAAATACCAAGGGAGCTAAAAGAGAAACTCCTCCAACTTAAAAAATGATTTTCTAGTGCTCTCGGCTGGTACTAGAAACTTGGCAGCCACCAAAAGACCCAATGATTATTATTTATGAGTAGATCTTTCACATGAAAATTCATTAAATCACTAGGTAGGGAGTTCAGCAGGGGGCTAATTGCATGTTCAAGAGTTCCAGGGTAGAAAATTACAAGAGAGGGGCACATTTAGCACCTGACGTTCGTTGCACAAATTTGTAGATGCCACAGGACTGCTGGTGTGTTTTCCCAGGAAAAAGGTGACCTACCAAGAGGTCTGTTAGTATTCACATGTAGAGACTGTCTGTCAACCAGCTAAAAGGAATTTTTATATAGAATATTTAAAAGAAAAAGAAGAATGGAGTATGTTCTAGTGGCACAAATCAAAAGTTCTTGATTGTCTCTTTTCAGAATCTGGAAATGTTATATTTTTGGCCAACTTTGGTAGCATCTCAGAGTCTATTGGCTGCCACACTTGGTTAGAGCTAGCATCATCATAATCTTAGAATTGCAGAGCTGGAAGGGACCATATGGATCATGCAAAATGAAAGCTAGAGAATCTTACCTTACAAGCTTTTTAAATAATTTTATTTTGTCCGAATAGTCCAGTGGACCCAGAGCACCTAGTCCAAAGCCATTCCTAAATATGTGACTGTCACACTAGAGTTTTAGTGTAGCCAGTGATGGTCTAACAGTGAATTGGTGCTAGCAGGTTTCCAATCAAATCTTTGTATTCTATATGTATCCAGGGATATGAAAAATTAGCTGCAAGAACAAGGCTTCAGCATAAACCGTATTTTTATATCTAAGCCATGTGATGCTTAGAAGAAATTATAGTGATATGTACATCAACATCTGGTGGGAAAGATGGACTTCCTTAGGTATATGGAGGGAAAATGCATGGCCTGTAATGGTTTTCTGGATAACATGAAGTCCATGGGTGGGCCAACCTAGCATATATAATTCCTAGACATTTAATGCTCTTGGTCTACTCTGAAATTTGTCTCCCTATGAACTACTTCTACAGCATTAACTTCTTTTCGAAAACTAAGATGTTTATTTTCTCAAAATTGACTTGAAAGATGAAGTTACCATGTTTTGGGAACTTACCCAGAAGCTTTTTTCGATCACATACCAACAAAGAATGGTTGTGTCATCAGCACATAATAGTGTGCAGATTTTCTTGTTGTGTTTTGGGAGATGGCATCACCGTCTGAGGACCACAACCATTCTGTATCACAGCTTGGTCTCATCTTCCTTTATTGAGAAGCATACCCATTGAGTTCAGTGGAGCTTACTATGAAAACATTTAGGAAACTGGGTCTTCCTGTGAAAACAAAATATAGAGTGTTTGAATTTCTAGACACAGAAGCCAGAACTACATCTAATTAACAGCAGGGCTATGAATGCTGACACTATTCTCCAGCTGGCTTGAGCAGGCCTGTTGAGAAAAGCATAAAAGTATTCATCCTTTTTTTTCTCTTGGTTTTAGTCCAAAGAGCTTCCAAAGCTGCTATTTTTCTGCTCCAGGTTTGCTTAGGGAAAGAGAGCATGAAAAAACAGATGCTATATTTCTCAGTGTCAAGAGATGCTGCTTATTTTAATCTGAATTTCCCAACAATGGAAAAGCTTGATGAGATGCTTTATGAAGCAGCTTCCTTGATGAATTTATTTACAACCCCTTAATCCATGTTATGGGAACTTCTTATAAGAAGGGTCTCTTCCACATTTTCTGTGGCCTACATTTCCCTACAATTGTCCAAGAAGCAACTGCAATGTTAGTGAGATAAGGGTACAGACATACAAAAGGTTGTCCCAGCTTGATGTGGATTTCTTTGGACCTCACTGGTACTTAAATTGCTGTCATTGTTCACTCCAAAATGTTTATTTATCCCAGGAAAATGTTTTTCACATGTCACACAGTTCCACTTCGTATCTCATCCTTGTCTGCCATGATCACCACCCTCTTACCCATCCATTTAGAGGTCATTCAGATTCTTTCTTTAATATTTAGCAAGTGAAATAGCGCTGAATTGACAAGACACGGTCTGGATTTGAAACGGAGCTAATACCATTATATTGCATTGTACTGCATTGTTTCCACCATGTGATTTGTGATGGCCTTCATGCCAAAGCAATAAAACCCAAACTGATGAGTATCAGCTTAATGCTACAGCTGTAACACTAAATAAAAAATTTGACTCTGTCATCTAGCTAAAGAGCATTTTTGTGCCTATGACTGATAGCCTTTTTCGTTGTTGTTTTGGAGATGATGTTTCATTTGCTCCTCTTGTAAATAGCAGGAAACTGCATATTAAGAAGAAAATCAGATAATATGAAAGCTGCAACCATAATATCTGTATGGATTATTTGTGTCCATTGTAGTGCTAGAAAACTTTCTGCTGGTGTTGCTCCAGTGGTTTACCGAGCGCTTCTCCCCCCCCACCCCGGCCCTAGGCTTCATTGAATTTAAAATGCATCATTTCTTTTAATAGGCACAAGATTTACTTGGAAATGCAGAGGCTTCCCTTAAGCTTCTCAGCTCTGAAGGTCTAAGCATGCCAACCTTGGCAGAAAAGCACATGGAGCTCCAGAAGGAAATTAAAGATGGCACAGCCGATGCACTGCAGAAAGGACACATCTTACTTAGCAAAGGAGATGCACACAGGTAAGTTAAAGAAGCAAGAGAGTAACCCCCACATACATTTTGAAGTGCCTCCACATACGTCAGGTGCAAACTAGAAGCTTTATCCCTCGTCGCAACAGTACCATGTCAGATGTCACTTCCTCCACGTAGCTGTCTCCATAGGGAAGGTCACTGTAGGGAGTTTCGAACATGGTGACACAAACAGTGATGATGGGGGCTGTCAATGGAATGCATGATTAATCCTCACCCAGCTCCATTTCGGGGGAAAGAATGAGATACAGGGTGGTTTTGAATGGGTAGTTTTGCTGCCCTTCAAAGTTTCCCCTCATTCTCCTGTCCTTTCCCCAAACTTGTGGAAGCATGAGGCGGTGATTGGGAAGAGGCCATGCTTAATAAAGTGTAGTAGATGTGCCATGGTCGTCACAATAAAATGGACAATAAAATAGAGAATAAAAGGAGCGAGGCAGAATTAAAAGGTTGAAAAGGTCAAACAAGGCTCTATAAATTACCCTGGGTGCCTGTTTTCTTTGAAAGAGCAGCACGTTGGAGACCTATGGCTGAGCCACCCAGTTCCCCACTGCAAATCAGCACACAGCACACTCAGAATGGAAGAAAAAGGCCACAACTTCATTGATTACAGCAGCATGGACTCTGGCCAGGTATTGGGTTGGATCCAGGCCATCAGGAGGCCCATATGACCTCCCATAAGCAAAATCATTCTCAACAGATCCTTTCTGTGAGACCAGCTGGAGTGGCAATATTCTGGAGACTACAAGAGGGTAGGCCACTCTGTAGTTCCCTGCCACCTAGGGGCAAGGGGATCCCTACCCCACTCAAGCTGGGGCAGCCAGGGGCAAGGGGATCCCTACCCCACTCAAACTCGGGCAGCCCTTGACCCCACCCTTGGTTCCCATTAAGGGACACATTACCAACCAAGTCATGCAGGTCTCCCACCTGCCATCCTATACTGCCTGGATCTATCCCAATGCCCCCAAACCACCACTAGAGTGGAGCCCAAGCCACTGGCCAACCAGAATACACCAGCTCGATCTGGCAGTGCAGCTGAGCTCCCGAAGGTCCCTGCGGCACGCACATGTGTGGCCACCATTTTGTACTGTGGTGGGAAGCCACAACTGATATTAATATTTTAATGGAATTTGTGTTACTATTTAATTGTGTAATATTTTGCTTGAGAAAGCATTCATTGTAAATTAATTGAATGTTGGAATTAGTTCTCCTCTTAACGTGAGTTTTTCTTACCCTAATTGTATGTGATAAGCAATTTGAAGAGGACTGCCTCTAGCCTTTGCATTATTATGAACCAACACCTTGGAGCATAAATGTTTAGAATAATTGCCAGCTCTTCGGCAATTGATTTATTGCTCAATGCTCATCCCAATTTACAGCAACATATTTAAACAAATAATGTCTGTAAAACACAAGTTATATTAACTGTGAATTGTTTGTAAGAAAATGTGAACTCTTTATAGCTGCACTTTACATTTTTCAGAGGAACTGCTCTATATTTATAAATTGCATTTTAACTCAAAGTCAGATTTGGTAAGTTTATTGAAATGAAATAGGCCTTTGATCTGTATTGATTGCTAGAAAACATGGGGAATACTGGTGGTAAAACTTAATACTGTACTAGTTTGAAGAAGGACATCAGTTGGAATAAGACAGGAAGTGGAGATACTCTGTTCTGCTACATAGCCGGATATTTTGGCACATGTTAATATTCTTGATGTGGGTGTTTTCCACTGTTCCTTAAAACTATTCAGATCCAAAGGATATTTGTAGTCCTATATATGAGCAAAAATGTTAACTGTGGTTTTGTTTCCATTTTCAGTTCTTGGATGATGAGTATTCAGGAAATGGTAGACTGCCTTCAGGAAAAAGTAAATCAGTGGACAAAACAGTGGCCAGCTCACGAGGAGTTTGCATCCAAAAAGCATCATTTAACCACCTCCTTAGATGATTACCTAAAGAAGGTACATGAAAATATGAATCTTTATTAACAAGTCATTTCTGCCACTCATTCTGCAGTTTTAAAATATCACTGAATAATGGGTGGTATCCTGTAGGGCTGGAGAAGAATGTCAGTCAGGACCTATGATGAAAGCTGAACAAAATTCGCATTTCCTGAAACACTGCAAACTCGATCCTTTGGTATTTCTACCTTTCAGAATTGTACGATGCAGTTCTCTTAAAATGTACAAAAAAAGGAAAGAGACGTACAGGACAAGACGGCGTAAGCGAAAAGGCATACAAAAAAAGTTACATGAGGCAGAACTGCTCATTAGGTGAAGATGCATGCAAAAATGCATACCCAATATTTTTGAAATTACAAATAGAAATGGAAATATGGTGGGATAACTTAAGTTCCAGCCATTCTCAATGGAGGCACATTTGAAGAAGACCACAGACTGGAAACAATTCTTTACATAACACCTTACAAGGTTTGTTGTGCAACACAAACAGTCCTGGTTCAGCCCTGCTTCTTTCATATTGTGTTTAGGGCCGTTGCAAAAAAAAAAAAAAAANTTTAAAATTTTGTTTAGGGCCGTTGAAAAAAAAAAAAAAAAAAAAGTCTGAGAATGGGTGAACTAAAGCAGTGGTCGCCAACCTTGGGCCTCCAGATGTTCTTGGACTACAACTCCCAGAAGCCTTCACCACCATCTCTGCTGGCCAGGATTTCTGGGAGTTGAAGTCCAAGAACATCTGGAGGCCCAAAGTTAGGGACCACTGAACTAAAGGACTTGAAAAATAAGGAACAGAGAGAACTGAGGGCTTTGTCCATCACTCATATCCAATGAACCCCCTCATGGTGGTGGAGCAAAGTCCCCTGGCAGAACAGGGAGGAGGTGGTTCCTTTTCCTGCAGTTCTCAGGCATGTCTATCAAATCTGTTCAGGAGCATTGAGGGACCCATTAGATCAATTTGTGGAGAAAGGGATACGGGTTATCAGGAAGATGAGACATTCTGCTTTGCCACTGAAAGTTGGATCCATAGACTATGATGCCTAATTACATACTTGTCCTTCCACTGCCAGAAACTAGACATCAGGATGAGTAATATTGAAGAGTTAGATGAGTTGTGCCAGAGTTGGATGCCACACTTACATTGTGCTACTTCTTAATTGATCTCCAAGATTCTTTAATAAATAAATTCTTTCACTTCTTTTCCTTTTTTAAAATATCCTTGAATGATCAACTGTATCAGCTTGCAATTTTCATTTCTCATTACTTGAGGCAACCATGTAGTATAGCTTTCTGTGTTTCACAAGTTTTATGATTTCTTGGGCTTTGATCCTTTGTATTGCTTCTTTGCTGATCACCCTCTCAATCCCAGAAATTCCTAGCATCCTTTGGCACTCCACATCATACAGCAGAACTGAGAATCTTAGCATTCATTGTACAGGGCATATTCTAAAACCAATTTAAAGTTTTTGTTCCATATTACATTATTCAGCTTTAGGATGTTCCTCCAGGCCATCTGTCTTCAGACTTTTATTCTTTGGTTCTGCTCCAGTTTTTCTTTTAATCCAATTCAATGGTGCTTACATTGGGCAACATATTTCACATTTAATTTTGGATCTCTAACTAGCTTTTGGCCTTTTACTACGAACTAAGATTTCTTAACATTGTCTTTGAATCACTATTTAGTGCATTGACCTTACTGACTAATATTTGCAGACCATCTCAGTTGTCAGGTTGTAATACTGTATCATCTGCATATTGAATGTTGTTGATAACAATGAAATAAGGCAGGGAATTCAAATTGCTAAACGTTGTCTTCCTTGACAACGAAAAAAGGCAGGGAATTCAAAGTGCTAAACATTGGTGGCAAAGAGGCTGCTTCTTTGTAGCTCTTTCGCCCTAGTAGTGCGTGAGTGCTATTGGAGGAGGCTTTGGACTGCCTGGTAAGGTGCTGCTTTCTGCTTTTTAAAAACTGTTCTGGGTGGGTTCTGCAGCGTGGTTTTGGGCTGGAAGGTGGGATTATGTTTCAATGCTGTGATGGGTCTTGCAGGGTTTGTTTGTTTTTCGGTGCCCCCCCCCATTTTCTATGGGTCTTGCAGGGTTTGTTTGTTTTTCAGTGTCCCCCCCATTTCCTATGGGTCTTGCAGGGTTTGTTTGCTTTTTGCTTTGCTTCTTTTGCATTTCCTATGGGTCTTGCAGGGTTTGTTTGCTTTTTGGGTCCTCCCCCCCATTTCTGATGGGTCTTGCAGGATTTGTTTGCTTTTTCCCCCCCATTTCCGATGGGCCTTGCAGGATTTGTTTGTTTTTTGGGGGGGATTCCCCATTTCTGATGGGTCTTGCAGGGTTTGTTTTTTGGTGTTTTTTCCCCATTTCCGATGGGCCTTGCAGGATTTATTTGCTTTTTTTGTTTTTTCCCATTTCCAATGGGTGTTGCAGGGTTTGTTGGTTTTGGGGTTTTTCCCCCTATTTCCGATGCGTCTTCCAGAATTTATTTGCTTTTTGCTTTGTTTTTTTCCCATTTCCGATGGGTCTTGCAGTGGTTTTTTGTGTGTGTGATTTTTTTTTCTTCGGCCGGAACAAATTAATTGCATTTCAGTGCATTCCTATGGGAAATGGTGCTTCGACTTACAACCATTTCGAGTTACGACCAGAGTTCCGGAACCAATCAAGTTTGTAAATCGAGGCACCACTGTAGCTGTAAAGTTTTTGCAGTCCTGATTTATTAAAATAATAGAAAGTTGGGAGTCAGCTTCTTCTAGAGTTTTAGCTGGGTTGGCATGAGAATGATAAGAGACCTAATCTGTGATGGTGGCAAAGGGCTCAGTCTGTCCAGCACTAACCAATCATTCCTTCCCTGCCTCTGAAATCAAAGACAGCCCCGCCTCTCTACTCAGGCTCCCCCCCCTTTCTGTAGTCTGTTGAAGTCTGAGGCTAGAAGCAATCATGCTTGTCAGTTTGCTGTTTGATCTCCTCACAAATGTAAGGCAAGAAAATTGTTTTTATTCTTTCTGATATTAATGTCTCAGAGTGACTGAGATTGTAAAGGCCAGTTAAGAAAAAAAAAAGGGGGGGTGAACTACTCTGGGGAACTTGAAACAATTCAGCATTTTTGCTGCACAGCTAGAGAAAATTAATAAAAAGAAATTTCAGAGATTCTTCAACACAGGGTGCTCTGGAAGAGTTAAATGGCATTGTTTGGAGTGTTAAAGCTAAACACTAAATGTTCCTTGGGCAGTCTGCCAATTTGTTCCTTTTTCATGACATTAGAAATTAAGGTTGCTATTTTACTAATTGTGACTTTGGAAGCTGTACATTCAGGGCCAGAAGGAGCAGCTGTAACATCAGTATTATCTAAGAGCAGCAGCTGCCCTGGTTTGTCTAGACAAACTCCATTAACTGATATTTCAGAACTGGCTAAAAATTCTGCATTTTAAGTGGCATTAGGGGAATTCCTGGCTGATCAAAAATCAGTTGAACTCTTGTCCTTGAAAATGATTTAGGATTATGTTCAACCTTAATGAAGTCAACAAAATGTTCTTCTGATTACAGTCGTCAACACAGTGATGTTCAATCACTGAATTAGCAAGTGCTTCTTGAAAGATGTTTTTTGGAGTACAGATTGAAAAACTGTGGTGAGCATAAGTGTCCTTTTCATTTGCCTCTTAATATCTCTGTAACCTTTATCACTTGATTGTCAACTTTCACTGCAGCTTCTTGTTGCCAGCAGAGGTTGCTAATTATGCAAACATCTCTAGAGTCAAGCCTTTTGTTTACCAACAGCTCCATCAGTTTATCATGCTGGACTCTGTCAAAGCCTTCCTTCTTCTCAATAAAGCAAGCCTACATGTCTATTTTCATGGCACACCATCTCTTACATGTGTTTATGTAAGTGAAATAGTGCTTCCCTCTTCTGATCCCAAATTGTGTGTCTCTTGTCCTTTCTTCACACTAGGAAACACTATTATCATTTTTAATCAAAACCTGAAACAAATCAAGATTAATCTTACTGCTCTATAGTCAGTGCAAGTGTTGCCATTTCCTTTTTGTGTAGTGTAGTTAAATTATTCAGCCATTCTGTAATTTGTTTGAAATGCGTGACTAAAATATTGATGTTATCATCTTCCATTAACTTCAATCCTTCTATAAAAGCATCACTGAATCCATAAGCTGTGCTGGGTTTTTGTTAGCCATGGTGCCTTTCAGATTTTTGTACTTCCTGTCCCATATTGGTCTCTGCATAATACATTCTGTTGGTCTGTTATCTTCAAACAGGTCTTCAATGTACTCCCTTCCCATGACAATTTTATCTTTATTGCCAAGTGTCAGAGAGTTATTGCTATCCATTAGAAATGGGCATTGTCATTTTTTCAGTATGTTTCCTATCTCCATCTTTTTATGCTGTTGAAGAAGTTAGGGAATCTCCTCTAGGTTTTGGAGACCACCATCTTCCCTTGTCTTATTTTAGGTGCTCTTGCATATATATATATATTTCTCATTATGCGATCAACATATTGTACCTTGTTTTTTCAAAAAGTGTATGACTGAAGAGCTGATGAAAGAGATAAAAACACAAAAATAAAGACATATCATGTGTGTGTTTGTGTGTGTGTGTGTGTACACACACACACACACACACACACACACATATAAGTACAGTGTAAAGCATTCAAGGTAGCATACTTGGAGACAGATACTCTATCCGGTAATCTAATAGTCTGGTAAACTATGTATATACGGTAAGCTGGTTCAAAACGCTTGGTAACCTGCATACTGCAAAATCCCTAAAGTACTTACGGGCAAGTATAATTAGAGTCTTCTCATCTTACTTCCCTCCTCCTCCTTAATTAATATTTTTCTCATTCCTTGAGTAAAAGTATTACCTAGTAATGTATTCATTTTTTGTTTGTTTATTTAACTGAAAGCAAGAAAAAGATTAATAAACAAATATATTGGGGCAGGAGGGAGAAAGGAGAAAATGGAACCATAAACAGTGAAAAAGAGCTAAACATAGAGAATATTTATCTCCTCTAAACCTCAGCTAGAGTGGAGCAGGAAAAGCAAATTTAAGCCCAGAGCAGACTTTGGATAGTGGCCTCACTTGCCTTCTTCCCTGCAATAAGCAACCGGCCTCACCCGCCTAATCTGTTGTGGAAGGAAGGCCTGTCCTTTTGCCACTCACAGTGGCCTGTCAATTGCTATTTATCATGCAGGACTTTAGATAAAAACATGCCGAAGCCTTTATTTGAAGAAACTTGAAAAAATTCGTACCTAATGAATCAATAATTAATTATGCAGACTGTGTTTAATCACTCAGGATTTTTTGAAGGCAGTTATAGACTAACCAAAACGTGTTTCGGAAGTGAAATAAAATAAAAATAAAAGATCCTTCGATCACTTGCTCAGAATTGGAAAAAGATTTTGAGATTTAAGCTTCCGTGCCTCTGCTTCTGTGTCAGATGTTACTACCCTCTTTTAACTAAAAGAAGAATCTTCTAGTTGACCTCCCTGCTAGCAGACATGACTGTAAAAGATCTTGGTCCTAAAATTCATGTAGACACTTGGTCAACACTGCTTAGCCTCCTTTACATACTTCTAAAAATGTGCTACAGGAATAAATTCACATTCCATGTCACAGCTATATATACATCCAATAATACCATATTCTAGGCCACTGCGATGCTCAGGTTGTCCCAAACATAAACATGTAATGAAGTCTACAAAACCAAAATGTTAATTAAAATACACATTCAGTGATAAAATAAACAAAGCTGCTTTCCTTTAGAGAGAAGGCATTTTGGAAAATTCCATTACATACGCTTTTTTAAAAAAAGTATTACCCTTTATGGTATGATGGTTCTTCTCTGCAGCTCCCTACTGTATGGCCCCAGATTTTCTCTGCCAGCTTGAGGGAACCTCTGAAGCAGATCTGGGGGAGCATGTGCCTGCAGGAGAAGAGTAGAGAGACATGCTGCTGCCTGACACCTGTTCTGACACCTGTTGATTTCATTTCCAGTAAATAATTTGCATCAGAACAGTTGGGAGGGTGGGAAAGTGTGGAGATTTCACTATGCTGATACTGTACCCTTTCACCATGGAACTCAAACATTACATTGGCTGGAGAAAGAGAAGTCTGAGGAAGGGACACGGGGGCTGTGAAAACAGTGCTAGGGAGCCATGTTGCCGACCCTTCATCTAAAACATAGGTTCCCAAACTGTTTTGCCCCGTAGACCACTTGCTGATTTATTTGTTTTCCATACACCCCCTGCCTACCTATGTGTGTGCCCGTATAGCTCAGTAATGAGAAGTGACAAAATGTCGTCAATCCCATTTACAACACATCGACATTTACCATAAAATTTTACCAATAATTTTACAAACTTACATATGACTGTAGCACACCACAATACAGATAGTACACAGTACCAAATTTAAAAATATTATGAAATATTATGTACACAGAATCTGTGTTTGGTGTAATTACGGATCGACTAAATATTTATTATGATCTGCCTAATGGGATCTGCTCACATAGACCAACATTTACATCTCATGTACCCCCAATTTTTTTTTCTCGCTGACGTGGACCCCCTGTAAGTTGAAATTGACCCCTGGGGGTCCATATAGACCACTTTGGAACCTATGATCTAAGGCAGTGCCATCTATTGGTAGTATGGCAAAGCAGCATGTTGGTGTTGTTGGGGATTCATGAGTGTTCCTTATACAGTTAGCGGACTAGAAACTAAAGCAATTAGCAGTAGAAAAGTGTGAGAAAACAGCTCAAGTCTCAGCGCTATTCTCCCTTTCCTTTATGTAATAAAAATCATTCTCTAGAAACATATTAAGTAGGAAAAAAAGGTATCCTTACTTTCTGTAGTTAAAATCTTTATTTACCCTGAGAGGAATAACAAGGAAAAGGTATGGAGTCTCTGCCATGTGGAACAGAGATCTCTCCATGCCTGCCATGTGCTTGGAGGTCAAAGGAAAAAGGGAAGGCTGTCAATAGCACAAATGTGGAAGTAAGTGAGCAAAAAAGGAAGAGGGGGCATGGGCATGCCTCAAGTGCCAGAAAGAAGAACTTTACTGATAGGTTAGTGACAAAGGATAATCGTCTTAGGTTGTGAAGTCCCCTCCCACTAGTTGGTGCATGCAAGATTGTTATTATGTCAACAGTTGTATTGAACTAATATGAAATAATTTGTTTAACCTTAAAGGCCTCTGTAAAGATTAAAAACATTGGCCCAGTACTCTCTGCTGCAATTGATCCTGGCTCATCTGTGCCTGAATCACAGGAAGTTCTGAACAGATATTTAGAGTTGGCGAATCAAACCAAGGTAAAACTCGTTGGTTTTCTTTTTTTAAAAAACGGGTGCATTTTTAAAACCATCTGTTCCTACTGTGTGCATTTTTCCAGGGTGTTTGAAATGATTTTTTCACCAGTGCTACACAGAGCTTGGCCCGTGTGTGGAAACAAATCCACATAATCTGGACGAATAAAGCAATGAAAAGTCATGTTGACTGTGAAAGCAGAAGCAACAGGTAGAAGGTGGTGTAGAGATGCGGTTTCAAATGAATTAAGATCCATGTGGTAGGGGGAACAATGCATAAACTAGCATTTGGTTTCTTTTGAACTAGATTTCAGAAACATTATCAAATTGGCATATTATATGCCAGTATCCTATTACATGTCCCATTGACTCAGTGGGATTTATATTTGAATTGCCTTCAGTTCAGCATTGATTCAGTAGATCTACTCTCTAATTGAGATTAGTAATAGGTTTGTTATGTGCCATCAAGTTGGAACTTATTTATAGAGACCCTAACAGGACCATTCATCCTCGCCACAATATCCACAATGTTATCTTCTAGTTATATATTTTCTAAATTAAAAGAGACCGTGCATCTTTAGTCACTGTTCAGAGGAATAATGGGCCTTCCTATCCATGGTATACTCAGGAGTAAGTCCCATTAAAGCCAAAGGAATTTGTTTCCAGGATTACAGGTTTATAAAAAACCCTCAATCTCTGTATGAAAAAACTTAGATTAGGATGGAAATACAGTTCTCCTCATGAGATGGCCACCTTGCAAGTATGTCTCCAGCATTCCTGTAGAAAGGCTATGAATATCCAAGAACTGCAGGTTAAAACAAGTTATTTTTCTGGATTATAACTCTGGAATACCCTAGTCACCCTAATCTGGATAGGGGATTGCCTGTTGTATAAGCAAACATGGTTTTCATTAGTTTATATTTATGACTGGGACTGACTTGGTATTTGCAAAGCTAGTTTTCATAACAAATTATATTTAACTTTTGCTGGTGTACTGACAGGTTGTTTTTCAGTAAGTGAATCAGTACTACTTCAAGAAATGATATGATTTCTGGACATCTGAGGCAAAATGTGTGCAATACATTATTTTCTCTGATTACGCCACACAGGAGATGACCAACGATCTAGAATTGGCTGTGAGACTTCTTAGGGAGATGGAAGAATTTGAAACCACAGACGTGGCAGCTTTTTCCAACAAAACTGACCTTCTAAATGAAGAACTGGCAACACTTAACAGAAATATCGGCTTAAAACTGGAAATCCTGAAACCTTATGTAGCGTTTTTGAAGTCGTCAAATGAGGTACAGATATAATTTGCATGGGCACAGTGCTTGCATAGGGAGCCATGTTCCACTCCTTCTCTCTTGACGTGGAGCTCCAACCAATTCAGCTAGGAGGACTCAATGGAAAGCATGTCTAGATTTTCCATGCCTTAGACCAGCCATTCTCAGCGGAGGTCATGTGGCCCCCTGGGGGCCCCTGGCATCCCAGAAGAGAGTCACAGATTGGAAGCAGGTCTTCACAAGCCACCTTATAAGGTTTGTTATGTGACTTATACAATCCTGATTTGGCCTATATTTCTTTCTTATTGTGTTTATTGCCACGGCAAAAGAAAAAAAAAGCTTGAGAATAACTGCCCTAAACTCTTCACTGCTAAGCTAGAGGAAAAGTAAAGAAGCTGGGCTCTGGCCATGAGAAATTTATTACTGTATGTGGTGAAATCAAGAAATCATCTATTTAGAGGAAAGTTTATAAACTGTGCTTCCTTGGGTGAAATCTCTTTAGATTGGACCTGGGAAATCTATGGCTCTCCAGATGATCTTGTCTCCAGCTCTCATCATTCGCAGCCAGCATGATTTGGGGATGATGAAAAAGAACAGTAGCATAACAGCAGAAGGCACTTGGGCTGTTGTTACACCAAAGAAATGTTTTCTAGTTCTCCCCCTTTGATTTTGCAGTTTAAATTTGGGGTCACACGACACAAATCATTTAGCCAACAAGTGTGCTGATTGCAGATCATTTCTCGCTTGGCCAAAAGGTTCTCCTTTCTTTTTGTTGTGGATCGTTTTAAAGAATGTTGCGTTGCTGTGTGTGTGAATGATCTTATTGCAATTGTTTTGTATTACTTTCATCATGCATGTGCTTTTAAAATGTGTTCACTTTTTTTAAAAAAAATCTGCAGCATTGGTGTCAATATGTCAGTTAACTTCTGTGAAACGGTCTGAACAAGAAGCTCTAGGCACTTACTGAATTGGAAGGAAATGACTCGGTAACCCAAAATTACATTGGGACACACATCCTAGAATAACTGCCACATGAACTCAAAGCACAACAGGAATGTGATTAAAAGTCACATTACCAGAGGGGAAAATTTCAGTGGTGTGACCATGGCTTTGGATACCCCAGTCCTCCTTTATGTCATAGATATTACCTCAGAAGAATTTGTAAAGTGCCTTAGGTTTTAGAAAGGTAAATGCCCACAATCTTTCCTTCAGAAAAATGACATTGCACAAAGAGAAACATGAAACTGTACAAGGAGAAAAGTTGCTCCTTTTATGTTAAAGCAATTACCTTATTTTCAATTTAGTTTAAGGGAAAACGGTAAAGAAAAAGTCTAGCTCTTGACTCTACTAGTGCTTTATCAGTTTTAGACAATGAAGTTAGGGAACGTTAACTTCAGTGATGTGATTCAAGGATTCTTCAGGCCCAAAGACCCAGCAAAAAAAGGTAGAGAAGACATGAACAACTTTCATTTATTTCTACTCCCTTAGGCTGGAGATGATGCCCACAAGTTGAGAGAGTTCTACATAACTGAATCTGTTCAAGACAGTGAATTTGTAAATGAGATTGTGATGCAGTCAGCTGACATTCAATGGCAGACGGTTCTAAAGAAGATTCTATCCACTCAAGATATGGGGCATGACTTTTTAAATTTAGTAAAAATGGTAAGGCTATATAAAAAGATGTTTTCCGAATGCAGTCCTATGCAAACTTACTTGGTGACACTTGAACACAATTGAACTTTTTTTGTGACTCGACATTTATAAGATTGTTCTGTGAACCATGACATGTTTTTACAATTTCTTGGTATCTAAAAGGGGAGGGAGAAGGAAATGCCTGCTTTTTCTTGTTCGTTGGGTAGATACCATGTTACCAAAAATGGTTATATATTTTATTATGTTCGGAAAAATTAGGATTGTTCGTTGTTCATTTAACAGGTGAATGACAACCTAATACTGAATGTGGAAAATGTTGTGGAAGTCACTGAGCATACTATTGGTATTCTGAACAAAGAAAAGGAAGAATTAACACATCTTTGGGCAGCGTGGAAACTTAATATGGATCAAGTGAAATCCATCAAGCAACAGTGTGGGAAATTTAATGAGCAATTTAAATATGTAAGTAAAAACTACACGGTAATTATTCCAGAGTTTTTGCTTGTCACCTTCGTGGCACCTTTTCTTGGCTTCATTTGGGCAGCGTGGCAAATCGGTTATCAGGGTACGTCCCCCCCCAAACACACAATTTTTAGGATAAAGAGTTTTGGATTGAGTTCTTTCAAAGTTCCTCGTTCTTGGTGAGATTATGAGTCTTGTAAAAAAAAAAAATCCTGCAAGATTTTGGGCATGTTTTTTTGAGGTGGGGAAGGGGAACGTTTCAGAGAGAAATTTTAATGTTAGGGGAAAAAAGAGTGTGTGTGTTTCCTCCCCTCCCCCCATTCTCTCCAAAAGCAAGAGGCCGACAAATTCACATCTCTGCAGGGGGTGTCCTGAAGGTAACAAAGTGCTTTCAGGAGGGATAACGACATTCAGAAACCTGTCTTTGCTGTTAATAATGGTACATTTTTACAACCGAGGCCTTGCAACTTCAGGAGTGCATGAAATGCATTCACAAACACCTATTTGGAATTTATGCATGTGTAAAATGTAAGCATTGAAAATGAAATTGGACATAACATCTGAAAAACTACCCCAGATATTATGTTGGTCTCAAAGTGCCCAGAATCTGATTTCCTGTTTCCTTTATAGCATCGAAGCTTCATCATATTTTGAACATTCTCTTCTTCTTTCTTGACAAATTGAAGCTAACGGTGCAATCATACAGTTTTCTCAGCAGGAAGCCCTGTTAAATTCAGTGCTTAGCAAGTATTTCTAGCATTGGGTAGAAAAAGAGCTTATGATTTAAAGAAATATAACTGAGCAGATAGATTCAGAAACCCAGGAAGATTTTAGTGGCATGCCATCAATGACTAGCTATTCCTCTTAGTTTAGATATGCCTTTGATGGTGATCTACTCTTTGCTACTTATGTGCAATCAGCATGACAGGATTTTAATACTGAATTGTGAATGTTTAAAACTTTCTGGTGCACACAAGTCCTAAAATGTCATGTGATGTGTTCTGTAAGATCCACAAGTTTTCCCAAGGCCCGCAAAACAGATGTGGTATAATACGGTTATTGGATCAGTTTCATAAGTAATACGACAAATGTCATAACCAGGCAAACCTCAGGGTCCTGCAGGTCTCTTTGCCAGGCTGGGCACTGCAAAGCTTTGGAGTGGGGGAGTCTGAAAACAATTCCACCCAGATGTTGAAGCTTCAGGATTGGTAGTTAAACCAAGGTTCCAAGCATGAAGATGGGAGATTAAAAGAATCAGTCTGAGGTTTCCTGATAATAAAAGATTTTACCCTGGAAGATGTAGAGTCAACTGTTTTACCTCATTGCTCTAGACAAAGGAATCACTGTCATTTGGCACCTCATCCATTGCAAATGTAACATATTCTGTAGCATTCATCAGTACTAAGTAAATATTGGCTGAAATCCTGTTGTGCAGTTATACAAAGGACTTAACTTTTAATGGTGAATTGCCATATGTTAAGAATTCTCTGTAGTCATTGTCTGCTGCAAGCTGAATCATGCAACTGTGACTACACATTGAGGGAAATGCAAAATAACTCAGCTCCTCTCGCTGGATAATTTAGTTCACTCCGATATAAGTGGCCATAGAAGCAGAGGGGAAAAAGCCTTCTACTTGCAATTCCATCTGAAGCACCTGTAGGTGCAAAGAAGGCTTACCTTCCAATCACCTCTGCATCTTATAGTGTCAGCTCAAGAGTTCTTTAAAAATATAAATGATTATAAAAATATAAATGAACAAACAGAATTTTGTGGGGAACTGTTTTAAAAAAATGGCAGCTTAGGGGAGCAGAGGCTTTATAGAGTGTTGAGTACTGGTAGTGCTTGGGTGGGTGTGCACGATCCCTCTCCCCCTTTTGCCCCTTCCCCCCCATGACTCCCTCCTCTCTTTTCTCCCAGATGGCACTTCTCTATCCACTCTTGCCCCCTCCTCTGCTACAGACAGGCCACCCACACACACACACACACACACCACTCGCACACACACACACCACTCGCACAGGAAACAATCCTTTCAAATCTTTCTAGAAAGAAAAAAAGTAGTAGTCTCTAGCCAGGAGTGAAAAACCCTGGTTTGCAAGGCGAAAGGACTGGACAGATTCAATTTAGCTTTAGTGTCATGTGAGCAGGAAAAATTACCTGTTTTATAAACAGAGTAAATCTCAGACTATTTGATGGTGTACTTGGGCTCTCAGTAGGAAACAGATAATATCTAATTTCACCTTTTGAATAACCATGCAGCAGGACTTTGGTCATTTAATATAATTTTAGGGGGGAAAAACCGGGTTGCTTCTTGATATTTTAATGGACTATATTCCAGAATATACATCTGCATGTTATTTCATCATTTCCTGTAGACTATACAAAGCTTAAACACTCTTCAAGAGGCACTCAGGTCTGCCGTAGGATTTGATCTTGGAAGTAACCTTGCAATACTTGTAGAGCTGCAAAATAAATTTCATGAAATGAAGCCGCAGTTTCAGGTGAGAACAGAAATTCAGTGTATTATATTCTATGTGGAGGCATTCCTCCTAATGACTTGCACCTATAGATATTTAAATATTGTATTCCATTTAAATTCTATGGAAATGCACACATGCAGTGCTGAAGAGGTTCAGACAAAAGAAACAACTTTGAAGGGAACTGGGAAACTTGTGTTTGTCTTGTTAAAACAGTCCTCTCTCCCCCTTTAAGGAAGGGGAAAGATGTCAAAAGCATAAAGATGTCAACCATCCCTGCTGATGATCCGGGAAGTAGTTTACGAATTTGTGTTCAGCATAGCATCTTAATTGGAAAGCAAGAGAAATGAGGGACAATTGGACAAAGTGACAAAGATGTCGTTGAACGAGTTACATTTTGCCTATGTTGGAAAGCATAGAAGTCTCCTTTTTGTTTCTCCCTTTTTGCTCTTTTTTTCTGCATAAGTTGCAGGCCAGTTTGATCTTGAGAAATTCAATGCTGGAGAAATTCAGTATTTTCCAAGACAACGAGGCCTGTCTATATGTTTATTTATTTATTTATTTATTTAATTTATACCAGCCTGTCTATAAGTTCAGGACCAATGTGCGGATCAGAATCTATTTAGCCACCTTTAAACTTCCTAGCTGTTTCAACACAGTTCTTGGCTCAAAATATACAGTTTTAACTGTGTTTTTGGAGAGAAAGTAGGCAATGCATGTTTAGACAAGAAATAATTTGTTAATAACATTTTCAATGAGAATTTTTATGCAGTTCCCCCACACTCCCCAATTATAGCTTCATGTGAAGAGTGAGGTAGAATGCCAACAGGCATGCACCGGAAATAGATTGATTTTGCAACTTTATTGGGTGAAAAATATGCCTCCATTTAACTGTGTTCACCTTTTGGACCAGTGGAAGGCAAAAGGAAGCAAGCAGGCAGCTCGCTCTTTCATATAAAGGCAAAAAGCAGGCAGAATTTATGAAGACACACACACCTCCCTCAGTACCCTTGCTGGCTTTTGTGGATGGGAGGGGCTCAGCTCAAATTTGCAAGATGGTTGATGTACAAAATGGCTTCATAGGATCCCTATGGTCCTGGTTTCATAAGCTCCGTCTCTTAATTGCTTATCCAGAGGACTTAGAAACAGGTGCAGTTATCAAAAACGCAGACAGTGATGTACTGTATATGTCTTCTCCTTCCAATAGTGTTGTTGTGGCTTATATTTTAGCAACTCAATGCTGAAGTGGAATACACAGTGAAGTTATCAGAGCAACTGAGCTTGAAAGGAGTTCCTGATGTGGAGAAGTCCAAGAAAATAAGTGAGCTTATTCATCTCCATAAGGAGATAAAGGATAAGATGACCGAGTATGATGAACTTTTCAACAAGACAGTCAAATTCCACCGTGTCAAAGAGGAAGTAAGTGTATTGATTCGCTGTATCCAGATGTACTGTCACATCGCAAGTGTGTGCCTGTGTATTGGGCCACAAATGGACACAGCGCTAAAAGAAACATGAGAGGAGTACAAAGTATTATTAGAATCTAAAGCTGGCTTCAAAGCCAATTATCTGTGTCTATCGCTAGCAGTTTGTGAATACGAAGCAAGGCAGAGGAAGAATGGCTGCTAATGAAAACCTGTGTTAATTTTCCCAGCTTGAAAGTCTGATAAAATCAGAAAAATTGGAGATCTCTGAAGAAAAAGATGTGCCTCGTGACGCCTCCCATACTAAGCTCCACCTGAATGATGCTCAGGAGAAGCACGCACATATCAGGCACTTGTACAGATCGGCACTCACACTTGGAATGGATATAATTGCCTCAGTAAAACATCCTGTAAGTCAGTGTTAGATCAAGTCCTAGTAGGGTACAAAGTAAGGGTAATACAAGGCACGCCACTTCCTTTCCTTCGGGGTTGGTCTGTTTGCAAGCAGATTCAAGGTCCTTTCAGAGGCTGAAGTGTACAGTTGGCAGTATCCTGCTTTTTCAGGGAGGAGATTAGGTTATGGGCACATTGGTTGGGGATGAAGTTGAGTCATTCACCACAAGCCCAGGGCAAAATCTCCATCTTTCAAGTTCCAACAGAAGTTAAATCAACCCCAGCTCAGCCTCAGTTTTCTCCACAAACATCACCCAGCTACAGAAGACTTTCTCTCTTCATAACACTGATCAGTTGTTGCTGAAGTGGGATGGGTGATACTAAAAGAGGCCTCAGAAGGACACAGTGGCTAGATGGTTCAGGGTGGGGTGGGGTGCCACTAATCAGTCTGTTCCCGATGGGGTTCATCTTTAGCCATCAGATTGATTCCTTGGGCTTCACATTAAAACCTTCATGGCTGGAAAGACACAAGGTGCCTTTCATGAGCTTACACGAGGTCACCACCTCTTCTTGACACAGATGTCCTTGTAACATTTCCCTGTGCCCTGATAAGAGACACCAGATCTAATGGCTGCAACCTATTGTGTGCGCGGTTGTCCCCAAGGACTTCTGGATTTTGGAACATGGAAATAAGCTTGTCACGCAATTTTGTTTTCTTTCAACAATCCGATGAGTATTTTAGACACTTCAATGGGCTGACAGATATGAGCACAAATTAAGATAGTGGTTTTAATCTATCAGGCCCTCTCAGGCCATGACACCTCAAGGACTACCTCTTCTGTCCCATTTATGGCAACTTACACATTGAGACCCTTCTCAGGTGTGGTGAACTGGAAATGTAGTCAGTGGTGGTTATGGACATTCCTCTCCATGGTCAGTGAAATGGCATCTACATTTCTAGTTTTAGGTGCCGGGTAAAAAGCAATATTATTCCTACAGACTATGAGCTCTATTTAATTAGATCACTTTTGTCTCTTATTACTATTTATTGCTTGTTCTGCATTTTGCATTTCTCTTTTTCTTATTTTCATTCCTGATTGCTGCTACGTCTGCTTCTCTTAAGCCTTCATTATCTTTGTATTAATTGTGGCTCAAACTGTTGGCCACCTTGACAAGCATGAACAGCTGAAGGTAAGTTGCCATTTCAAATGAATAATTCAGCAGAACAGATTCTTCCAGAAAAAATAGCAACAACAGATTTAGAGAAGGTTAACTGAATGCATCCTACCTATCCATTCATGTTGGTGATTTGTATCAGCCAGGCCTTTTCCATCCATTTGTCAAGAAATGCAACGAGGGCCAAACTATTAATTATAGCTAAAACCATTTTTGTAGAGGGCAAGTGCTTAAGTGATGAAAATGTGTGGTTCTCACAGCAGCTTTTCATACCTTCTGTAGTTTGCAAATCAGCTTGAATTATTTTGTTTTAAACATTTTATTAGTTTTCCGGTCTATCTACATTGTTTTGTGCTTATCAGACATCGTGTTACATATTTTGCTTACAATTATTTGTTTTTTTACATCTCAGTGTTTTCCTGGTTGTCCCCCCCAATTCCAAACATCTTTCAAGCATTCAAACCATTCACATACAGATTTTAGTACACAATATGACCACTATCATAATATTAC